GAGATCCAACCTGGCAAGGTCCAGCTCCTCTAATAACCTGGGGAAGAGAGTTTCTCCCTGTGCTTACTCCTATAGGTCCAGTCTGGATCCCTTCTCAGTGCGTACAACCTACACACCATGAGCGGGCATCAGATGCTGAGAACAAGCTGACTGAAGCTAACATCAGCGCTTGGGGAGACATCAAGGCCTTGTCCAACAACACCAAAAAATTGCTGACAGAGATGAACAAGGAACAGACCCCTGCAAATCTGTTTCTTGCCATGTGTGCAAAACTTACTGTAAACTCTATGATACTTTGTTGCATCCTGATATACCTGTCCCTGTCTCTTCCACCATCTACTGCCTTAAAAGTTATTCTTTGGAGCTATTTCTGTTGATTGTTCTCTTAACCACTTGCTATATTCATGTGTTGCCCTTTTATGTCTCATGGTGTCGGCCCCCTCCTCCTAGATGGGAGGGAGTCATGTTGGGTTTTAAAACAAGAAAAGGGGATATGTGAGGGTATGCAGCCTGGCAGTATGAAGCAATTATCTGCATGCCTTGTTAATTACTCACTTGAGCTGGCTGACACATGCCTTAGATGCCAGGGTTCTGTGGAAACATCCGTAGAGCACGGGAAACATCCTGCCCCTGGCTAGATCATGCGATGCCTGCTCTATATAATGTTTATGGCTTATACATTATCCTCTTTGATGCATACTCAGAGTGGCAGAAGAACAGGATAAGGGGAGCCAGCAGTTAGCGTAATGGCTATGTCGCTGAACTCCCACGTAGTCAACCGCGGTTCGCATCCTGGACCAGGTGACTTAAAACTCACGCCGGGCGCGTGTGCGTGCGTGCCCAAGATCCCGAGAGGAGAATGGAGAAGAAGGGATTGCGGTGTGGCCATCCCCCCTGGGGGGTGATTTCTCGCTTTCTGTCTCTATGTCTCTCTCTGTCTGTCTGGCGAGCACACGTGCCCTCTAGCGAAAACCTCTCTAAATAAATAAATAAATGAATAAATGAATAAATAAATAAACGAATAAATAAATAAATAAGAACAGGATAAGTAAACTGCCTTGACCTATGACGCATAACAGGATCACACATGATAGTAACAAGGTAAAAAACATCTACACTAAGATCCTACCTCTAACTTCAACCACATCCTTGAAAGCTTGCAAACAGTTCACTGTGCCCGGTAAAATATATAAATAAAGAAGCTCAGGAACCAGCAGCTGGCGTAATGGCTATGTCGTTGTACTTCCATGTAGTCGACCGCAGTTCAAGTCCTGGACCCGATGGCTTAAACACACGCCAGGCACGTGTGCATGTGTGCCCAAGATCCTGAGAGGAGAATAGAGGAGAAGGGATTGCGGAGGAGCCATCCCCCCCGGGGGGTGATTTCTCGCTTTCTGTCTCTCTGGCAAGAGCATGTGCCCTATAGCAAAAACCTCTTAAAAAAAAAAGCTCAGCACGGCTGAGCAGCACGGCTTGTCTGTGCTCACCTGCATCTCTGCTTCTGCATTTTCTTTCTTTTCTCTAACTCTTTCCTTCACAGGACCAAGCCCCAAGAGCGGACACCAGCTAATGTCAGTATCTCAGCAGCTTTCTGGTGTCTGTATTAGAAGTGAGGGACCCACCCGTTCTGTGCCTCCTCCTCCAGTTTGCCCTCCAAGTTAACATGTGTGCTGCTTTCTTTTTGCAACCCACACCTCCATGAGCCTAAGCAATGCTCTCCAGCCCCTGGTTGGGAGGAAAGGTGACATATTCCTAGTCTTAAGTCCCTCTTCTAACTCTCTTGTGACTTTCAACAAGGCCTTTTCCCTCTCTGCCCTCAGTCTCCCCCTCCAAACAATGAGAGGAACTTGACCTATTCTAACTGTTGTTTTGTAAACTTGTGACTTAGGGAGGCAAAATTCCTAAGGAATGGAAGCAGAGCAGGTCTTGTTCTGCCCAGCAGAGGGAAGCAGCCAGCCACCAACCAGCACCTCAGCCAAGCCAGACCTGCAAGCGGATGTGCACAGGCTCTGCCTCCTAGCTGAGGAGTTCCCAGCAAGAGGAGACTGTCCCTGGAGACCACGCCAGGGAAGTGAGCCCTCCTCGCTCCTTCTCAGTCTCACCTAAGGCATTCCAGACTCCCTGTCCCTCTACTGCAGAGAGAAGGTGGGTTAGACTGTTAATATTAATGGTGCTCAGGTCTTACCAGTGTGATGGGAAGGGGGAAGCTCATTCAAGCTGGGAAGATGGGATAGCCAAAAAGAGGCAAATAAACAAATGCCTCACCACAGCCAGGTGGACCTCCTAGGTTGACTAGTCTCCAGCTGGGTAAGCCTCAGAGTCCCTGGCACGATTTGAATTGTATCCCTCCAAAAGATACAGTCTCCACAGGATGTGACCCCTTTGACAATAGGGTCTTCCCAGATGTAATTAATTAATTAAGATGAGCTCTTGTAGGGTGGACCCTTGATCCAGTAGGACTAGGGTCCTTCTAAGAGGGAAATTTGAAAACTACACCGAGGGAAGATGGCCATGTGAAGACAGAGGCAGAAGCTGGGACCACCAAAAGTTGGAGGCATTCCCCTGTCCAGAGGCTTTAGAAGGAGCATGGCCCTGGGACCAGCAGTTGGCATAATGGCTGGACTCCCATGTAGTCAACTGAGGTTCGAGTCCCAGACCCAGTGTCTTAAACTCATACGAGGTCCAAGATCCCAAAAGGAGAATGGAGGAGAAGAGATTGCGGTGTGGCCATCCCCCCGGGGGGTGATTTCTCACTTTCTGTCTCTGTCTTTCTGGCGAGTGTGCATGCCCCCAAAAAAAAAAAACAAAAAAAAAAAAAAAAAAAAAAGAAGAAGAAGAAGGAGGGGGGGGAAGCAGGGCCCTGCTAACACCTCAGTCTTGGACTTCTTGTCTCCAGAAGTAGGAAACAATTCGTTTCTGTGGTTTTGTTTTTGTTGTTCGTTTTTTACGTAGGGTGGTGAGCTCAGCTGGGGGTAGTGGGGAGGGGACAAAGAAAGTGAGAAATCACCCCCGGGGGGGATAGTTACACTCAATTCTCCTCTTAGGATTTTGGGCGCTCACACACAGGTACCTGTGTGTTTTTTGAAACTTCAGGTCTAAGACTCAAACTATACAGTAGGCCATATGGGATCTTTGACTACCATGCCACCTGCTGTTTTTGTTTTTGTTTTTGTTTTTTGTCTTTTTTTTCCTTCCTAGAAAGATTTTGCTATAGAGTGTGTGTGCTAGCTGGAGAGACAGAGAGATAAAAAGTGAGAAATCACTCCCCATGGGGGACGGCACACCACAATCCCTTCTCCATTCTCCTCTTGGCATTTTAGACACACACTCACATATGCCTGGCGTGAGTCTTAAGGTGCTAGGTCTGGGACTTGAACCATGGTTGACTATGGGGCCATGTTGCTGGGAGTCCAGCAGCATAATCATTATACCATATGCTTGTCCTGCCACCTGCTGGTTTAAGCCACCCATTAAGTTATAGCTACTCTAGGAAACTAACACACACTCTCACCCCTCCCACCTTCCATGGCAGAGGTTGTGCATTGAATGAATCCCACCTCTGCAGCAGGTGCGTTTAGATTTCGCCATGTTGTTTTCATTGGTAATTTGCATGCATTTAGCTGCATCACTCTTACTAATGACTCACTTGGCTCCCATGGGCATTTGAGACTGGTCCCTGCGCCATTCTTCCTGGGGAGTTGAGGAGAGACTCCTCATCTTCCAAAATCCTCTTAGGTGGGCTGTTCGTTTTTTTTCCCCAGGCTTCCCATCCACACATGGCAACTCTTACCCAGTGAAGGTTCTTAGTATTGTACAGAAATCTGCCTCCCTACAGTTTCAGCCTCCTGGTCCTTGCTTTGAGTCCAGGCCCACAGAAGAGCCTTCTGCCCCTGCCTTTAGGCAGTGACACCCGAGACGTTTGCTTCTCACCCTTACTCTCCTCTCTTTTAAACAGTCAAGTCCCAGCTCCCTTGAAACTTTATCCTTGTTGTGGTTTCCTGGTGGTCACCTCAACTGAATAAATTCAGTTTGTTAAACCCCTCAGGGACCAAGAGCTGACATGATACACCTGGTACACATTTCGAGCAGAGTCAACACATAAAGTTTTACATTTCAGGGCCAGCCCCACAGCTGAGCAGTTAAGGGACCCTACTTCATGTGGACAACCATGGTTCGAGTCCCAGCCCGGGCAGCTTGACAACTACTCCAGGCGCATGTACATAAAATCCTGATGGGATGGAGAAACAAACAAACAAACAAAAATGGAGAGAAAGCCTTACTGGAGGGGCGGGGTATGCTCTCTCTCTCTCCTTCTCTCTCTTTCAGTCTCTATCTCCGATGAGCACACATACCCAAATAAAATGATTTATTTAAGTTTTATATTTTATACACATAAGTAATGAGACTTGTTGATTTAATGCTTTATGGGTTTGACCATTTTCAGCCCTGTTCTTCCCATCATAGAGGTTCTCTTCTAATTAGTTCAGTTCTGCTTTGTCCTGATTTTCCTAAAATTCCCCTTTCCACCTGTGTATGGTGCAGAGAGGACACCTGGATCATGCCAGGTCCCTTGCCTGAGCTGCCACATCTCTAGCCCCAAGTGGCAGAATGAGCAACGTGGGGACAGACGTGGCCCTCACCTCCATTCTGTGTCCAGGTGGTGCCTTCGAGACAGTCTCAGTCCCTGAGCCAGAGCTTGCAGTGTGCCTGTTTGCCTGAAACCAAAGCCGAAGCCCCTGTAGACAGTCCTCCCCAGCATCTCAGGAAATGCTTGTTTTTCAGAACTCTGGATCCCAGGAAAGATCACTTGGGACATCAGGAAAATGGGAAAAAGCATTGAAATTCTGTGGGAATCTAAGCTTAACAGGGAACCCAGAGACATTATTGGTTTGAAGGCATCTACTGACGTCAAATTGAAGTAAAAGCATGAGCTGCTGGTACTTGGAGTCAAAGGTTAGACTAACACTTGTGGGAACCACGCCCATAAGCACATAAAAGCAGCCATTCTCGCGTGTGGCTGCTGCATACTGTACGAGTGTTCCTGGGCCTGCCTGCTCCGAATTGTGAGTTTTCTTGCAGATAAAAGAAATATTAATGTTTGTATTCATGTTATACTTAGGCAAGTCCTATGAGTGACATTCCAGAAATAAGTTTGGGAAACAAAATAAGTCTTTAAATTGGCCATTTTGACAGTGATTCCATATAGTAGTTAACCTTGCCAGGAGAGCCCAGGGTCGTATTAGTCTAGTACTGTCTAATAATGCTCACTGGTGTTTTCCACTGTCAGAATCTTTACTACACCCTACAGTTCTTTAAAAAGCAGATAAAATGGTTTCTTTCTTTTATTTTAGGGTTTGTTTGTTTGTTTGTTTGTGGGGTTTTTTTTGTTTTGTTTTGTTTTTGCCATAGGATAAGAGACAGAGAAAGTGAGCGAGAGAGAGAGACCCCACACCCCTGGGAAAGATGGCCATGCCACAATCCCTTCTCTTCCAATTCTCCTCTCAGATTTTGGGCACACACATACAAGGTGTGATTTTCAAGCCTCCATGGGATTCGAACTATGGTCGGCCATGAAGGAGTCTAGCGCCTTAACCACTATGCCACCTGTTGGCCCCAGTAATTTTATTTTTTAAGAGAGAAATGAGACATCTCTCTCTGGTGACCCCATGCATCCCTGGCAATTAAAAACAAAAGAAAGAAAAGAAAAGATAAAAAGAAAGAAAGAAAGAAAAGAAAGAGGAAAAGAAAGGCAAGACGTCCTAACCTGTTTGGACCAGCCGGTGGTGTGATGAAGGAAGCTGGCTCCCACATGGCCAACTGTGTGGTTCAGTTCCATACCGAGGGGCTTGAAAACCATAGCTGGCACATATGCTCACATGTCTAAAATCCTGAAAGGAGAAATGGAGAATAAGGGATTGCCAAAAGGGGAAAGGAGGGAGTTCACCATCCCCCATGGGAGTGAAGTTCATTTGGCTTCTTTCTCTCTCTGGCTAGTGTATGTGCCCTTTACCAAAATAAACAAATAAGTGAACATGTCTGGAGTAACCTGGGCACAACTTAGGGTTTGGGAATTGCTCCAGAATTACCATGGATTTTATTGGGTCATCGGGAAAGTCATGATGAATTTTTCATAGAAAAACATAGAAAAATGCATCATGGGGGCCAGCAGGTGGTATGGTGGTTAAAAGCACTGAATTCCCACACAGCTGACAGTGGTTCAAGTCCCAGACCTGGCAGCTTGCTTTCTCGCTTTCCCTTTCTCTCTCTGTCTTTTTCTGGTCAAATTAAAAAATAATAACAAATGGAATTAAATAAATAAATTAATTAATTAAAAAAATACATCATGACTTTCCTAACAATCTAATAAATAAATGTTCATTCCCATTCCCAGATATTAAAATCTGTCAGGAATTTTAAAGTACTATGTCAGACGTCACAAACCACAGGACCAGATAGTTTATTCACTCATTCAATGATTTATTATGGGCTTATTATTTTAAAGGTCAGGCATACTTTGAGGACACAGCAGTGAATAAGACAGACAGAATCACAACCGTTAGGGACTTTGTATTTTAGGAGAGAGAAAGACCAAAAAAAAGTGTAATATAATGTCAAGCGGTGGTAAATATTATGAAAAAGTGAAGCAGTGTAAAGTTAGAGTGAATGAGGGAGTGCTACTTTATACAGGGTTTCATGGAAGGCCCCTCTGGAGAGCAGAGAGCTGAACATGAGCCTTATGGACTCCTCTACAGACTGAGATGCCCTGAGACAGGACTGTTTACATTTGCTGAAAACAAGAGAGGACTCAGCACCTCTGGAACATGAAGAATGAGAGAGAAGGTTGTAGGAAATGAGGTTGGAGAGGCAACCACCAGATGTGTAGTAAGTCACATTAGGTTCTTTGAGTTTTTTCCGTGCATGCAGGTGGGAAGCACTGAGAGGGTTTTGAATAGAGGTGGTGAGATCTGATTTACATTTTAGACTGATCACCTTGGCCTGTGTGTGAAAAAGAGGAGCACAGAGCAAAAGAGAAGGCAGAGAGACCAATGAGGAGGCTACGGGGGGAGCCAGACCAGAGGTGGATGGCGGCTCTGAGATAGCAGGTGGAACCCTAAGAAACAGGTAGTCAGGATATAAGGCCCAAAGATGAAGACGCAGTGGGTAAGCTTTAATAGAAACTTCTTGCTCACATAAAACAGCTTGTAGCAATGACTTAATGATGAACCTAGGCAGCATGGCCTAAGCAATTTTGTTTTTTTCCGTGTTCCCACTAAATTCCAGAACCATTTCTTATTCTAGCCTTTGTCTAGGGCCCCAGGCTCCCAAAGACTTTAACACTGACCACTAGATAACGCTCTCTAAGTTGAAGCTCTTAGACAGACCTGGGTAATCATTTACCAAAAGTTCTCCAAATATACGGCATGACATACCTAGCTTGTGACCCCCATGAGGACAAAACATAAACAAGTTCCTTCTAGCTAGGATAAAAATTTCAGACTCAAGTGTCACCTTGGTCACCCCCCCTTTTTTTAAAATAACTATTAAAAAATTATTTATTGGGACCAGCAGTTAGCATAATGGCTATGTCACTGTGTCGACTGTGGTTCGAGACCCGGACTCGGTGGCTTAAACTCACGCCGGGCGCGTGTGCGTGCGTGCTCAAGATCCCGAGAGGAGAATGGAGGAGAAGGGATTGCAATGTGGCCATCCCCCCTGGGAGGTGATTTCTCGCTTTCTATCTCTCTGTCTCTCTCTGTCTGGTGAGTGCACGCGCCCTATAGCAAAAACGTCTCAAAAATTTATTTATTTATTTGTCATAATTTTCAAGCCACCTGATCACAACTAGCCACGTGGGAATCCAGTACTTTAACAACCATGCCACCTGTTGACCCCTTGGCTACCCACTTTTTAGGACTCTTCCCTGTCAGGAGCATTACTCTCCTTCAGTGAACTCTACTTTGCTACCCACCCCACTCTTGGCCTGCATCTCTAATTTTTTTATGAGTGTGAAACAAGAACTAGGTAATTTCATGGTCCTGAATCTGGCACTGATATTGGACCCACACACACCCCAATATCATATGTCAGCTCGGCCATCAGGATACCAGGGGGACAGATGACAATGCTCAAGTTAGAGCCAACAGAAATTACTGAGAAACTATATGAGAGAAGGAGAGGAGTCATGGATTAGTCCTACTCTTCAGCCCAAACCACAAGGTGAATGGAAATGTCATTTCCTGAGATGAGGAAAGCACAGAGGAAATAACCAGGAAAGGCACAACAGTAGCATGGCTTCAAAGATTGGGGTGTCTGCTACCCATTCAAGTGAAGGTCTCAAGTAGACAGCTGGGTATAAGTTGGGATTTTAGGAAAGACCTTGGGATATAACTTGGGCATCATTAGCCTATCCACTAAAACTAAGGGGATGACTGAGGAAAGTGAAGAAAGAAAAAAGGTCCAAGGAATGAGATCTGGGACAAGCCAATATTTGATTAGATAAGGAAGACAAGGAGAATCCAGAAAGAAAGACTGAGAAGTGTTGGGGGAGGAGAAAAGCAGGAGAGGCGCTATCCCAGAAGTCAAGTGAAGAAAACGGTTTGAGAGGAAGGGAGTGATTATCTTTTTCAGCTGCTACTGAGAGACTGAGAATGAGAAGGAATGGGAATAGAGCCATGAAGTTGGCAACTTGGGAGGCCAACATAGAGGAGAATGGAAAAGGGATTGCAGCATGGCCAAAAAAAAAAAAAAATGTATTTAGGAAAGTTTGAAATTTTATTCCAGTGGTGCTATGGTTGGATAATGGTTTGCCCCCAGAAGTTCATGTTCTAGTTCTAGAAATTTGGTCTCCAATGTAATGGCTTTTTTTTTTCTTTTTTCTTTTTTTTTTTAGGAGACGTTTTTACTATAGGGCACGTGTGCTTGCCCGATAGACAGAGAGACAGAGAGACAGAAAGTGAGAAATCACCCCCTAGGGGGGATGGCCACGCCGCAATCCCTTCTCCTCCATTCTCCTCTCAGGATCTTGGGCACGCATGTACACGTGCCCAGCATGAGTTTAAGCCACAGGGTCCAGGACTCGAACTGCGGTCGACTACGTGGGAGTCCAGCGACATAGCCATTAGGCTAACTGCTAGTCCCTGGAGGTGGGACCTTTAAGAGGTGGGACCCAATTGGAGGATGCCATCGAATCAGCTGGGGGCAGGGGAGGGACAAATGGAGAAAGTGAGGATTCCGTCTCCATTCTCCTTGCACGTGCTCCCTCTCCTCTTTGCTTCTGTCGGCCACATTGGGATGTAGCACCAAAAGCCAGTCTGATGTTGGCCTCATGCTTTTGAATGTTCCAGCCAAATAAACCTCATTCTTTGTAAATGAGCTGGTCTCAGGTATTTCTGTAGAGCAGCATAATAATAAACTAACATAAGTGGTTACTTTGTACACATACCTTTTCTATGCTCTTTCTCTTTTTTTTTTAAGAGACTTTTTGCTATAGAGTGTATGCACTCACCAGAGAAACAGAGAGAGACAGAAAGCAAGAAATCCCACCCCCTGGGGTGGGGGGGAAGGCCATGCTGCAATCCCTTCTTCCTGTTCTCTTCCCGGGATTTTGGGCATGCACACATATACTCCTGGCATGAGTTTTAAGCCACTGGATCCAGGACTCCAACCACAGTTGACATATGGGAGTGATGTAACTATTACACCATCTGCTGGTCCTGTTCCCATTATTTCTTTTTTAAGAATTATTTATTTAACTTTATTTATTTTATTTATTTTTATTCATTTATTTTAACTTGACCAGAGAGGGACAGAGTGGGAGACAGAGAAGGTGAGAAAGCAAGCCACCAGGTCTGGAACTTGAACCACGGTCGGCCATGTTGAAGTCCAGCACCCTTAACTATGGCACTATGCCACCTGCTGCCCCCCCAACCCCATTAGTTTTATTTTAACTTTTACTATCTGGTTTGTATTGTAGTCTCATTTATTTCCCACCTATTACCCATCCAACAATAAAAGAGTTGATTCTGCTTTTCCCTTTCTCTTTCCTTTCTCCCATTTTAATTTT